GCTGGCGTACGCACAGAATAAGCGGAGAGGAAGCACCGGTGCCCGCAGACCCAGTTCAGAGCCCTGGGGCTCGATGCTGCGTGCGGCTCCCGAGGAAGGGGCTCAAGGGGCCACACGTGCGGCCCCGGTGCGCGCTGCCCCTGCGACCGCTCGCCGCGAAACAAACCTGCACGTTGTTTTCACATTTTGCCTTCAAAGCAAAAAATCCTGTGCATATTTCTTTAAGTTAGCAAAAATAGGTACTAATACGGGTCTTTTGTAAAAGCGAAGTGGTCTAAACTTTTGAAAGCGAGGACACTCTTTCTACCAGCGGTCTCATTTTTAAAATTGCTGCAAAACACCCATAATGAAACTTAGCATCTTACCATTAAGTGTACTGCAGTTCAGCAGCACTACGTACACTCACATGTTGTGCAGTTACTACCTCGATCCAGCTCGAAAACTCCGTTCATGCTGCAAAATTGAAAGTCTCTAACCCGAAACTCTCCCCTTCCTTCCCTCCCCGCCCCTGGCAACCACCACTCTGCTTTCTGTGTCTATGATTTGACTACAATATTTGTCCTTTTGTGACTGGTTTATTTCATAATGTCCTCAAGTTTCACCCTTATGTAAGTAAGTAGCACGTGTCAGAATTTCCTTCAAGGCTAAATAATATTCCAGTGTGTGTACAGATCACGTTTGTTTGTCCACTCCTGGGTTGATGGCCACTTGCGTTGCTTCCACCTCTTGGCTATTGCATAGTTGTGTTCTTTGACCCTAAATTCACTTACTCACTTTCTTTCCTAGATAGTTTTTAAAAATCTCCAAGACCCAGAAAACCTTCCTGAGATTCTCAGAAAAACAAAACTTCATTTGAAGCATCCCAAACCTCCTGTCCCCACTCCAGCCCTGTCCCTCAGCATTTACCGTGAAGAGTAGGTACTACAGCGATAGCATCTTTTTGACACGATCGATGTTTTTCTAAGAATCACCTGGGTGCTCACTAACCCTCTCCTCACCCAGGGATTCAGTGGTGTGGAGGAGGGTCCTGGGGCCTGAGGTTTAATATGAATTTGGGGGGATTCTCATCCTTAGGCAAACTTGAGAAACTTGGGCTGTAGCTTGATAGGGATCCTTTACTACCGACAAGCCTCTTCTATCTGGGATTAAATATGGCTTCTGCGTCTGGCAGGATGTCATCTATTACTGGACAGTTAGGTGCCGGACATCAGCTCAGAGGCAGAATAGGTAAACAGCTGTAACCACAAACCCACTCTTTTAAAAATATTTGTTGATGTTCAAGTGCAGTTGTCTGCATGTACATCCCCCCTCCTTCCCGATTCCACGTCCCCCTTGGTTTTGTCTGAGTTCTCACTCCTCTCATTTCACATCTGAAACATATTTTGGGTTGTGGAAATCCCCCTATTCTGCACTGAAGTATTTCTGTAACTAATTCACCCCCATTTTTCAGTGTTTCTCGACACTTTGTATTTGTTATTCAAGTAATTTAATTAAAAACACCCACTTCTTCATTCTTATTCTTCTTCCTCTCAAATCCCACCACCCTTCAGGACCCCCAGGCTCCCGGAGCTGTGGTTAGCCCAAGGGGTTTTCGTGTCTCTTTTGTATATCTACAGCATTGTCCTCCCTTTTGGCAAAAGAAAAAGATTTGAATCCCATCCTGCCTTCTCTCGACTGCCCAGCCTTGAGCTCCTAATCACCCTGAAGATTTCAGGCCCTCCTACCGCTGAGTTAGACCTGCCTTTGGCTTGCCCGGGGGCTTTGTGGCTGAAGGGATTTATAGCAGCCTCACTGTAAGCAAGAACCTGGAACGACCTTGGAAGACACCCTGCCAACCTTAGTGAACCAGAGTCTCAAAGTCAAATGTACGAGATGTTGGTTCCTGTACTTTTAAATCAGATAACCCAGGAGACTAGAATTCTCCAAGAGGACTCCTCCCACCTTCCCGGGTTCAAGTACTCAGTCTTAAAATAATCGGAGGTGAAGATCGCCTGTTCCAAGGAAAAGTCCTGTCGTTAAAAATAAGCTCAAGTGAGCAGGGGCCTTCGTTGTCTTGCTGCATCTAATTGGTTAATGGGGAAGAATCACACACGTGGCCCCCAAATCTTAACTAACATTTTTATTGGCATTTTAAAAATAATTGATATAGAGATGTATGTCAAATTGAACACATCATGTAAGTAAATGGGAAAACACAGCATTTTAAATCATTTTATAAAAATCAAGAATGAATTTCAATCCCTGTGATATATTTGATAGCAAATGATTTTTGACAAAGTACTAAATCTGAAACAAATTTCAAACCCCCCCACACACAATTTATCCCACCTTTTAATATTACAAAAATCCTGAGAAAATGTCACATGAACGACAGAGAATAGTTTATCCTGTGACTATGTACACAAATAAGACCATGATCTCCTCTGTAAACATTGTCTACCTCAGCTGTGATTATGGCTGGCTACCTCACTTCAAAATACTGTAGTTTTATTAAAGTTACTTTAAGCCAACAAAGCAATAAAATTCTTTGCAGCAATAAATGGAAGCCAAATACCTCTTACAACAATGTAGAAAATCGTTTTCTGAGATCCCTGTGTCTTATGAAAAGATGATCAATGTGGAGTAAGTTTTTCTCTATTTTATTATTCTTAACACTATTTTTCTTTTAAAAATTTGGCTCTTTTATTTTTGACATGTCAACAAAAGTGTTGTGACATGATATTCCAGTTAAATATTTCTACTGAAAGAATTCACTGTATAAATTTGTTCTCCTGCAATGTGGGTCGGGTGCATAAAAAAATAATTCAGTGCAACCATGGCCCCCAGGACATCACAGGGTGGGCTGAAAGCGCTCAAACCCTCCATGACCGAAAGAAGCACTCTGCAACCTGTTACGTCAAAATCAGACCCAGCAATGACAGTCTGGGACAGTATTTGAAACCATCACATTGTGAACGGTGATTCCTTGCAACCCCAACCTGCATGCCCTGCGGTGACAAAGTGAGCAATGACTTTATGGCCACCAAGCCGAGCCTGCTGCTGGCCCCATGGGGGACCCAAATGTTTGTCTACTTCAATAGCTTTGTTCATTCCGACTTCCCATTGCACTTTATTTGATTCTCACAACACCCTACAACAAAATATTTTATGAATGAAGATGTTAAACCTCAGCAATTAAATGAGGTACCTGACATTATACAGCATGGCCATGGTGGAGAAAGACAAGTTTGTCCAACTCCAAAATCTGTATTCTATTTGTTATGTTCCTACTATCTCCAGCCAGCACAGTCATATTAACTCATTTTATTTTCTATGTGGCCATCTGTCTCCTACTTCGACTGTTTTAGTCTATTCTGTATTATTATTATTATAAGTTGATCCGAATTATGTTTAGAAATAGGCAAAATACACATTTTAAACAAAGAGGGCTTAAGGTAATTACTGAAGAAAGATGTCATGAATTGACTGTATTTTCCAAAAGAAAATTTGATATATGTAACCAGATCAATAGGACCAAAGCTGATGCAACTGTCTACAGGTTCCAATCAGTGCGGACATGCAGGATCCATAAAGTATTATTTTGCACGCATGCATTTTAGAGTGTCCATTAGAAAACAGAAAAATTACCTTCTTTGCTACTATTCTGGTTCAAAACACAAAGTGGTTAATCTGAATTATTCATCTAGTAAAAAATTGACATCACACCAGACCCTGATGTCTGGCTTCACTGTCTGAATTTTTAAAACAATGTTCAAACCCATACACAGTAAGAAAGACATTTTGAACTGGCAGCCACAGGAAAGGCTGCCTGGTTATAAGATGAGCCCCGATTCTTCCCTGACCGTAGTTCTGACTTAATTAACAGGAACTAAAACAGCCCTGACACAACGGGGCACGTTCCCATTAGGATAAATGGCTCAGACCCCATCGCCGCAGCTCGGCATTCCCTAGAGGAAGATCTGTCACCGCTTTTCCGCGCCACTCCAGCACTCCCGTCTGTCCCAAAGGACCGGGCCACAGCTGGGAGCCTCCCTCTGGAAGGAGCATCTGTTCCACACTGAATGTGCTTCACTTGGAGGCGGACCGTGGATAAAGGGTGGAGAAAAATCCTCGGTCGTCTATAGAACCATGTGATCTAGTAGCTAGGTAGCCTACTGAGCACTTCTATTCTGCTCATGCTGGTCTTCTGTGTAAATATCTAGAAGTTTGGTGTTACTTTCCTTAATATAGGGCAGAACGGGGTCGTTAGGAGAAAAAACGCTATTTCTAGTTCCTCAGCAGGAATCATGAATCGAATGTACTGGCTAGGCGGGAGGCCAGGCTGTGGAGCCAGGTGGACCCCGCTTTGTCCCTCGGAGGCACCAGTTCCTTATTCTTGGCCTCGATCTCCTGGTTTGTACAGTGGTGAACTCAGGGTTAACACTCCGTAAATGTTGGCCATTATTACCCACAAGATGAGTCTCCCGTCTCCATGAACATAGAAGAGATTACTCCTCGCACCCTGACATCAGCCTTGCGATAATTTATATGGCACATTTTTAAAAACGGGTTCCTTTTTTTTACACTCTATATACTATCATAAACCAGCTAATTAAAAAAGCCTCAAAATTTTTTACTTATCCATTCATCAGGCATGAAACCAGGCTTAAAACTAGAGCAACATAAAAAAGCATTTGTTTTTTAGTCTATTGAAATGATTTTAGCCTCTTCGTTTGGTAATAATTTTTCTTTCCCAGTTGGTAAAGGCCACAGATGGTGGAGTGAATGAGTAACTTCTGTGTCCAAATTATTAACAGACATTTGTCACGTGATGGGGGAGGGCCGGGAACTGAGGGTTTAAAATGAATCCCATAAAGATGAGAGATGAACTCCTGGTCAGTTCCATTTTTTTTCAGTTTATCTCAATGGAACTATCTCTCGTTCACACAACACACAAACAAGAAAAGTAAAAAGACAGAATCTGAGCTCTTAGTTTTCACACCGTCCCCAAACTCTGCGGGCTAGTCGTCTTCGTGAAACTTCATGTGGGAACAGAAGGCTTCCTGGTCTAGGAAAGTTTTCCCGCAGGTGCCGCAGGAGGGGCCCTGGTCCTCCTTGTGTGACCGGCGGACGTGGCTGTCGTGGGCGGCGTGTGAGGCGAACGACTTGCCGCAGTGCTTGCACTTGAAGGGCTTCTCCCCGGAGTGCTGCCTGATGTGCGTGCGGAGTATGCTGGAGGCAGTGAACTTCTGCCGAGGACAGAGAGCAGAAAAGCCAACTTCCGTCAGCCAGAAGACCAACGAAATAAAGGGTTTACTTTTATTATTACTGACGCACATGCCACCCCCTACTTTTCCAGCAGAGGAACCTTGGGTGTGATGCTCTCGAGTATGCTGAGTCAGCGAGAGCAGCCTTTTCATAAAAGGACGAGATGGACGGGTCATTCTAGCTGGTTTTGAGTAGCCCGGGCTACTAGAACTGTGGCTTTTCAGTGTCTAAGATCACCTGCAGTCTAGTTAAAAATACAGATTGACAGCCTAAGCCCAGAGAATGTATCCAGTAAGTACACTCTTTGGGGTAATAAGGAATGCGTTTAAATAAGCAATTCTGATGTAGGGGCCCTCGAACCACACTCCAAGCTAAACTGCATTACACAACGTGTAGCTAATGCCAGCCAATATCTTCACTTCTGTGTACCCTTTACCCAATTTCCAGAGGGTCACACCTTACGGACTGTGTAACACACCAGTGGGATACTGATGTTGACAGAGTTAAGATACACAACATCTTCATCATAAATATCCTTCACGTTGCCCTTTGATAGACACACCTCGTCCCTCCCACTCCCATTTTTTAAAATTTTTGTTTTTTAATTCTTACCTGAGGACTTTTTTTTTTCATTGCTTTTAGGGAGAGGGAGAGAAACATTAGTGTGAGAGAGAAGCAGAGATTGGTTGCCTCCCTTATGCTCCCGGCCCTGGGACTAAACCCGAAACCTCGGTTTGCGCCCCAGCCAGGAACCGAACCCACAGCCCTTCAGATACAGGATGCTCCAACCAATCAAGCCACACCGGCCAGGGCCCTCTTCCATTTTTTTCTTAAGCTGTGGCAACCACTAATCTGTCCTCCATTTCTATCATTTTACCATTTGAGAATGTTATGTACAAGGAGTCATATAGTATAGAACATTTGAGAGTGGTTTTTCTCACTCGGCGTAATTCCCTGGCGAGCCACCCAGGCCACATGTCTAGTTCGCTGCCATTCATTGCTGAGTGGTGGTCCGTGGTGCGTGGGCCCACGGCCTGTCCCACCACTTACCCCTCAAAGGACACCTGGCTTGCTGGTTGCATGTGACTTACAAGGCTAGGTAAAAAAAAAAAGTTCGACTGTTTTGCAGAGTAGCTGTAACATTTTAGATTCCCAGGTACTTTTCTGTTTCTACATATCTCTTCTTGGCCACTTTCCCCCTCTCCTTTCCCCCTCATTCATATCAATACTATGCTCTGACTTTGTCAGCAACACCCAGACAGGGCCACTCTCCACCAGCTTACGTAGTGGGAGTCTACTGTGTCATTTCATCACTCTGCCCTACATGCCAATTTGGCAACAGGTGGTTAGACCTGACCACCATGAGCAAATGTGAACATATTTGGGGGTGGAAATGCAGATTGAGTTGGTAGCAAGAACTCATTATAAGCCAGGCTTTATGATTCAGGTTCCTGTCCCTGGCCGCCAAAAACAGAGCTCAAGGCAGATTCAGGGGTGTCCAAACTTTTGGTGTCTCTGGGCCACACTGGAAGAAAACGAGTTGTCTTGGGCCACACATTAAATACACAAACACCAGCGAAAACTGATGAGCAAGGAAAAGGTTTTAAGTAAATGCATGATTCTGTGCTGCGCCGCATTCACAGCCACCCTGGGCCACGGGTTGGACACCCCTGCTGGGAGGAGGTTTCCCTTACCTTCGTACAGTACACACACTGGTAGGGTCTGTCTCCGGAGTGGACTCTCATGTGCTTGTTCAGGCTGGAAGACTGAGAGAAGCACTTCCCACACGTAGAACACTAAGGCAAAAGAGAAAGCATAGAGTCGCTATCACATCTTCCTCTAGCAAGTTAATTTCCCCGTGATGTTAACGACTGTATTAATTCTGTATCTGTAGGCAAAGGATCAAGCAGGCCAAGGCCGAGGGTCTAGTTGGTAGTAGCCAGACCCCCTGGAACTGCATCGAAGAATCCAGCAGTGTGGGTTCTGGTCCAGGGCCTGCCCGGTGCTAACGTCATCTGACGTCTTTGCGTGTCAGTTGCCTCAGAATGAAATAGGGTCACGGTGTTTAATTGAGGCCTGCATTAGTCCTGCTCTGCCCACAGGTAGCTGCCTGGCCAGTACTAGTCAGTTAAACGTGGAGTCTGTCTCCTGATTTTCCCCATGGGCAAAACACATCTCTGCTTTTCTTATAGGGTAAGCACTACACAATTAATTCAATATGCATTTTTCTTTCCTAGATTTTTACTTATTTTTTAGAGAGGCAGGAAGGAAAGGAGAAGGAGGAGAGAAACATCACTCGGTTGCCTGCCGTACTCCCCCAGTCGGGGGGAGACCTGGCCCCTAATCCATGTGCCTTATTTGCCAGGGACCCAACAGGGGTGACCTCTCAGTTTGCAGGCTGGTGCTCAGTCCACTGAGCCACACCAGGCAGGGCTCAACAATTATTTATGGAGTACCTACTATGTGCTGGATACTCTGCTAGAGATAAGGAGCTAAGAATACAGTTGGGGACGGTGAATACGTGGACCAACAAGTCTCACCCTTTTGTACCTCAGGGCGCACATATACAAGTTACTAAAAATCTGTAGCACACCAAAAAATACACATTTTGCCAATATGACAAAAGGGGTATTTTGATTTATTCATGCTGAATAGCTATTGTTGTATTAGCAGTTGTCATTTTTTAATTTGACAATCTAAGAGAAAAGAGGTCAGTGTCCCTACTTAATTGTCGGATATTATATGTTTTAAAAATTCTTGTGGCACACTGGTTGAAAATCACTGATGTAGAACAAAATGGCAACACTGGTGGCAAGATCACCTGAGACTTGTACCCACAAAACAAGAGTAGGATTTTGGGGGTGCAGAGAGAGCATGTGCCACAGCCACCTGCTGTGAACAGTTCCTGTAACTTCTCTGTGCTCTAGACCCTGCTGCCTCCCACCTAATCTCAGGAAATCTGGACCAGGTGGAGGAAACCACTGTGCTTCCAGGTCCTGCCTTCCCCCATACCCCAGGTATGCTTATGTGAACAGAGGGGAGAGTGGGTAGTTTTAGATTGTGGGATTTTGGGTGGGTCTTCCATAATTTTCCTTTAGTGCTTGAAGTTTTAATGATGAGTGTGTATTATTGTTGATAGAGCAAAAAAAAAAGGTTGAAATATTGCAAAAAGAACAGATTAATCATAAAAAAGGGAGCAATAAGGCAAAGAAATTGTTCTTTCCTTTTGTGTTTAGGATTTGTGCCTCAGATGGAAAGAGTACTCTTGTACATCACTGCACACAAAGCAAGGGGAAGAAAAATGCATCTAATCTGACATGTTCTGTTAAAATTTCAGAGCTCCAAAGATAAAGAACAATTTCTACAAAGAAGAAAACTGGGCCCTGGCTGGTGTGGCTCAGTGCACTGAGCGCCAGCCTGCAAACTGAAGGGTCTCTGGTTTGATTCCCAGTCAGAGCACTTGCCTGAGTTGTGAGCTAGGTCCCCCTGGTGGGGGGCATGCTAGAGGCAAACACACATTGATGCTTCTCTCCCTCTCTGTCTCCCTCCTTCCTCCTTCTCTAAAAATGAATAAATAAAACCTTTAAAATAAAAAAAGAAAATTGGTTATGTACGAAGAAACAAGAGCCAGACTGGCATCAAATGACAGAAGAAAATGGAATGATGCCTTGCATATTCTGAGGGAAAAATCATTCTACCTATAATTCTGTATCCAGCCAAACCATGAGATATTTGAGCAAAATATCCTCAGACAAAGGACTCAGAAAACCTTTCACTAGGTTAGCTGAAATGCAATTACTTGAAGATATGCCCCAGTAAATACATAAAAGAAATCAAGAAAGAGGAAGTGTGGAAGAGAACAATCAGTAGAACTCATTCAGATTACAAAAAAAAAGCAAAACCCAAATGACAGTTCACAGACCCAGAAATCACCAGTTCAAATCCGAACAAGCTTTGGGAAGAATGTAAATGTCATCATGTAAGTTACACAATCAAGAAAGTAGTAAATTTCGCCCTGGCCTGGCAGCTCAGCTGCTTGGAGCATCGGCTGATAGGCCACGGTTGCGGGTCCGCTCCCCAGACACGGCACACACAGGCAGGGGGCCAATGGGTGCAGAACAGGTGGGACGGTGGATGGATGTTTCTCTTTCTCTCCCCTTCTCTAAGAATCAGTAAACAAAGTGAAATAACTAAATTTCTCACAATTAGAAATCCTAGCAAAAACGAAAGGTTACAAGGAAGTCACAGATGAAATAAATGAAAGTCTTGCTAATTTGAGCAATTTATGGAGTATATGAAATAATGTTTTCTGAAAAAAAAAATCAAGCCCTTTCTCCATGGGTCAAAAATTTCAGAAGGCTGGATAGAACCAATATTCTGAGTTTACATGTGAACTCTTGGTAGTCGTCGTTACAGATTACAGGGATCTCCTGACATGTTTGTTCTGTGTTCTACAGGAATTTTGCTGGACCAGACTCGTCTGAAAAGTGAGTGAGTGCATTTAGGTTTGAAGTGGGGAAGTAGGATGGCAACACTGGGTTTCCACTGTTGGTTGTACACCAGCTTCTTCTATATTTTTGTTAAAAATCACTTATCTGAAGTTCTACCTGTGTTTCACTTGAGCTTTGTCTTCTGTTCAATTGAAATGTTTTCTTTTGGGCTTCTATGGACATTCAATATATTTTGGCAAGTTAAAAGTTAAATACTACTCAATCTAAAGTATGTAAAATAAAAAGACTAAAAGAGAATAAAAATGTCGAGCAGTCAAATCAGAACAAACACCCTGAAAACTGTGGACACGAGGGCAAAGTGTCATGGATGGCATGCGGCCCCCGAGCTCCGGACGGCTTTCTCAGCCAGGGATGTGAAACCCCGTGTTAGGCTGCATTTAGAGTCGTGATAAGGAGCGAGCCTGTGAAAGGGTCAGTAAAGCAGCCCTGGGAACGCTGACTGTGACAGGACTCACTCAGCCTTTGATTGCCAGTTTAAAATGATTTCTTCTGTCTCTCAGAAACACAGCTCCTCTTAGGAAGGTCAAGTCATCGCTTTCTTCCAAATATTCCTCATTATTCCTGTCTTCCATCCATCCCTGGGCCGACAGTCCCCAAAGGCGGCAGTGCCCACCTACAGCTCCCCTGCTCGAACCCCAGCCCGAGGCCACTGTCACCAGTGTTCAGGCAAAGGACCTGTCCCACATCCTAGCAGAGATGTTTTATCCTAGGAGAAATTTACTGACGTAACTTTGAGAACCTTTCCTGAATCCAATTTCAGTAAAAACAAAAACAAAAACAGATTCCCAGTCAGGGCACAGGCCTGGGTTGCAGGCAGGTTCTCTGCAGGCCAGTTCCCTGCAGGGGATGCACGAGAGGCAACCATACATTGATGTTTCTCTCCCTCTCTCCTTCCCCTCTAAAGATAAATAAATAAAATCTAAAAAAAACCCAATATAGTCCTGTAGTGTCTACCTTCCTAACAAACACCCCGTGGTGTGGCTGGCTGCAGCGAACATGACTAATGTCCTCAGTGCCATTCCCCGTCAGCTGTGAGACCCGCCGCGAGTTTCTGTGCTGACCGACGGACGGAACCGAAAGGAGGCAGTGGTCACAGCTAGAACTATGGCGGGTGGTCACACGTCGAATTTCAGAATATAAACATGTCCAAACCCCAAACCCTAGAATTAATAAAACATGGCTTGTCAAATAGCAAAAAAACATGTAGCAAATATACATACTTTCGAGGACAGAAAGGAACCACCACCAGGCAAATACAAACTGCCAATAAAACATTTTAAAATTTGAAACTTCATTCAAAGACCTCATTAATAAAAATAAATTCGTGCAAGATCCCCGTTTTCCCTGATCAGAACGACAACAGAAACAGGACAAAGTGACTGCAGGAGACCGGGGGGCTGTGGCTCTCTGGCTGGAATTCAGATGGACACTTTCTCTGGAAGGCAGTTTAGCACCTTAACTCAAGGACCTTGAAACTCTACATGCTCTTTGGCCCCAGTTTTCTACTTGTAGCAATCTACTCTAAAGAAATAGTCAGAGATGGATAGCAGAAGTAATACTTATTTCTTAAAAATTTTTATTGATTTGTTGATTTGAGAGAGAGAGAGGGAGAGAGAAATATCAGTTTGCTGATTCACTTGTTTATGCACTGATTGCTTCTTGTACATGCCCTGACTAGGAACGGAACCATAGCCTTGGTGTGTATGGTGCATGGATGGTCGAACCAACAGAGCTACCTACGTGGCCAGGGCCAGAAATAATGGTTATTTCTATAAAATATTGCTCACTGCAGCAATCTTGGGGTGACTTGCACAAAAGAGGGGGCTGGTTACATAAATCATGGTGCAATCATCAGCTGTATGGGGACAGCTATCATGTGGCTACAAGGGAGCTTGTGATGTAATCCTAAGCCAGAAAGTTAGCCTCACCATATTCACTATGGTCTAAGGATGTTAAAAATACATACATATTGAAAAATTATACCTAAAATGTCCTAACATTGGGCCATAGCATATCAGATGGCTTTTGTTTTGTTCTTTTTTCCCTCTATACTGTATTTTCCAAGCATGCACTATATTTTCATGCTAAAAAAAAAAATGAAATTGACAGGAAAAAATGTAAAGGGTCACCAGGTAAAAACAGTGACCACTCTGTGCCTCTCCCTCCAGAGTGACAGCCAGCACCGTGGCCAGGAGGCCCTCAGTGTGTTCGGGGTTTCGGGCTGAGCGGTGGGCAGGGCCATGTGTCCCCACAACCAAGTTCTCACCTTGTGAGGCCGGTGCTTCTCGTGGACGTGGAGGATGTGGATGCGGAGCCGGTCCCGCTTCTCGAAGGACCGCTTGCAGAGGGAGCAGGGGAACTTCCTGTCACCCTTGTCCACACAGGGGGTGTACTTGAGATGTTTATCCCTGTAGTATCTGTAGGTAAACACCTTTCCACAGCGGTCACATCTGTAACCTTCCGTAGACTCTGTCAAACACAGGGGGACAAGAGCGGTGGCTTCGTCAGCTACTGTACCTCATTCTTACTTCCTGCAAGGCAGTTTTAAAGCACGTTCCCTTATAAGAAAGTTTAAACATATACTGAAGTCAAAATAATAAATCCTTGTGTGCCCAACGCCAAGCTTTGACAACGTCCAATTCACAGCCAGTTTCGTTTTCATTAGTATCACTTCCCTTCACAACAGAACACTAATTTATCATTTGGCCCATAAAGAGCTCACACCAATCTCACACATTCTGACTGGCACTTGTTACAAGGTTAATAAGCAAAACTTGCCTGTTCTCTGTCCCTTTCAGATCAGCCTGAGCTACAAGTTCAAAAACAGTTCACCCAGGACAGTGATGGACACCCAGAGCTCACACCACAGACTTCCCAAGTGCTGTCCCACTTGACCCCATTTACAAAGTCTCAGGCACCCTCTTACTTATAGCTTACTTCTCTGAAATTTGGGGGAAGATTCCAGAGCTAAAATCTTCACAAAGTAATGATGACAATATCTGGCCCCCCCAAATACATCAGGTTATCATTATGGCGAATTTAATTCTAACACTTATTTTAATGAGTTGTCACCACGCGTGACAATACTACTGAGTGATAAATAAGACCAAGGTCAATTGTTTTTCCGTCAGCGGAGGAGGGGGGACGGAGGGGAGTGGTTAGAGAAGGTGCTTCCAATTTGAGCAGAAAAGCTGCGAGGCCCAGGTTTATCTACCTGTGGGGGGCAGGGAGGCTAGAGGATGGGGCCACCTACAAAGTGGTCTCTGTGGAGGACACTGGATTCCAGAGGATAAGCGGCTTTGAGGGCCGCATGCAGCACCAAGACCTCATTGCCTGGTCCCCGGGAGGGAGTAAAGAGCCAGGAGTGAGTGTATGCAAGAATCTGGAGATGGAAATCTTTTTAGCATCAGGACAGCAGGGAAGCTATCCATCAGGGGCTTTGTTAGTTAACAACTATGTCGCTGGCACATTTAACACATGGCTAAGGAAATAAACCATTAAGTAAATAACCAGGAAGGCAACCAGCAACCCCAGGATAATCTATCCCACCCCCCTGCACCCGCCCCCGTCTACCACTTTCATTGAGGTGCTAATATTCTCTGAATCCCCAGGCTGGACCAAATCCCCATGCTGGACTGGTTTTTGCTCAAAGCTAGAAGTTTCTTTGGTCAGAAATACCTGGCCTTTCTACTTCCTGGGATGGGAAAAAGGGGTCTACAAGATGGGACCAGTGATCTTTACAAATCAAAGCATTAGAATACACCAAATTGAAAATATGGGTCCTATAAATTTACCTTACCTTATTTTTATCCTGTTCCCTCTCCTTATCTCCTGCCCCTCACCCCAGCTCAATCAACTGCTCTTTAGTCCAGGGCTTCCTCAATCCCGAACTGATGCTTCTTGTCTCACCCCGGTTCAGACCGAGTTTTGTAAGGATTAAGAGTTGCTGTCACATTCCGCACCTCCAGCCCCCTAAACACACACTGGGAAGGCTGCATACTCAAACAACCGCCCACATAGGGTCCAGGCCCTTCCCTCTCACCCAGGGCCTTAAGGGGAAGGGTCTCACCAGCCCTTGCCGAAAGCCTTTGAGAAGAGGTTCTTTGTGAAAGGACAGAAGAATTTTCACTTTTTTTTTTATCCTATCCAAGAACATTTGTAACAGAAAACAAATGAATTCATCCCTTATTCTTCCCAACTAATCAAATCCTTGACAAGTCATCTCCCCCATGTTGTCAAAACGTACTTTACCGTAACAGTGGGGTCAGCATCGGATACTTTCCTTCCTACCTGGAGCACAGGTAAGCTGATGACGCTCCTTCCCCGCTCCCACCATTCTCCTAAGCCCTCATCCCTGTTGCGTGTGCGCTTGGGGTCTCTGCTGTCTGCATAGTATTCCATGTTCATAAGTCCTCACTTACTTAATTATTCAACTATTGAGCACGGACACTGTGCTTTTCCACTAATATGGATGTTTCTGTAGCAAAGACCCTTGTGGATAAAAAATCCTTCGGGACTATTTCCTGAAGATAAGTTTCCAGAAGAGTATTACCGAGACGTCACAGCTTATGAACACTTTAACAGCTGCCTACATCGTGGTAAAAAATTTTTTCAAAGAGGATTAGCAAATTCAGCCAGTAATCCAGCATATATTTGTCTCATTATCTATTTTTAACTTTTATTTTAAAAGCAATAGAAAGATTTTGGGGAAGTGACCAAAAAGCCATGCTTGGCTCGGTGCTAAGTATGTGGTAACTCAGAGCCCCGGGACTGTCCAGTCCCACCATCTTGCCCCCACCCTCACGCCGGGGTGGTGGGGAGATAGTTCACCCAGTCGATTCTGACAGGCCCTCATCCTTTGGATTGTAGAAAGATACCTCCCTCTCCTTATTTACTTCCTAATCCCTCGTGACTGCATAGTTGCCTTTGGCTTCACCACCCCCAGCCTGGGCAGCCTTCTCTCTCCCTGCCTAACACACTCCGCATTTCATTTTACCCCTAAGTAGCTTTTCGAGTCCTAAGTGTCTTCCTCCTTCATTCAATCCACACTGGGATCCAGGAGCCAGGGATATGAAGGTTTAGGGTCATTTCCTGTCCTGAAGGGCTCAGCCTAGCACGGAGACATGAATGCGGACAATCACTGCAGTATGCGGTGAATGCAATTCGCATTTTCTTTTACCTGCTATTCATGACACGTATTATAACATCAGGTGTTCTTCTACCTGATTATACATGTTACAGTCACTTGCACTTGTCTTGTCCCACCTACAAACAAGACCAGTGGCTCCCAAGCTCCTGTGTATATAAAAATCACCCCGAGAGATTTTTTTAAAATGTGAATTCCAGAAGCACACTCCCACAGAGTGGGCTGGTGGTCCTTTAGCCCCTCGCTATTAAAATGTGGTCCAGGGACCAGCAGTGCCCGCATCCTCTGGAAGCTGGATGGAAATGCAGGATCTCAGGTCCCAGGCTGGAACGAGACCCTGCACCTTCCCAAGGTTGCCCAGGGATTCACAGCCCCAGGAAAATGGGAGAATGAGAGTCTAGCTCAATGCCTGTCAAACTTGACTGTGACCCACAGTAAAAAATACATTTTCTATTTAAGACCCAGCAAACACACACATCCATTTGAAACAAAACTTCACAATGCTTGCTCTTCCTTTAGTGAGATTCACATCAGTATATTCTATCCTAATTTATTCTTATTTTCTCTTTTCTTCAATGCGAATCTCCACCACTGAACTGATTTCTCCCCCACTTAAGACGCTGCAACCCACCCCCTGAAAAACGCTGCTCTGGAGTGGAGACTTCATGGGCAGAGTTAGCCTGAGCAGAGTGGGATCAAACCCCGGCTCATCTGAGGCGGAGGTTGCGTTGGTTTATCTCGCTTTTATTGCATTCTCTTGGTGGGGGAGAAGGGGGACAAGAACAGGGATCCTTGTGAATAGAAGCGGCTTCAGCAGCTTGGGAAAGACAGGGGGGCTTTTCCTCCAGCCGGGTAATGCCCTCCTGGTTAGAGACACTCTCGGTTTAGTCTCCTGCATTAAGCCTTCGGGAGGGAGGAGCTCCACAGGCAGTTGAGAAACTGCGAGAAGGCGTTCCTGTTGGGAAAAGAGCCCCGCCCCGCCCTCGCCCCCAGTCGCGCCGCACGGGGCATAGCAAAGCTGTGCGCTCACCTTCAGAGGCTCCAGGCGCCTGAGCCTGCTTCCCCGGCTCGGTCTCCTGAAGGCTCACGGGAATGTCCAAAAACTTTTCATAGCAGTCTCCATACCACACAAGGAGCTCTTGGTTCTGGTAGATCTCCTTGCAGCTCTCGTAAAATATCTGCCCCTGACACTGCACAGCAACCAGGTTCTGCTCCTTGGGAAACCGGGCGCAGTTGACGTACGACATCCAGTTCCCCGCACCTCCTTTTCCATCTATAAAGTGGCTCAAACGACCATCTTCAAAGATCTAAATGAAGTAAGAAATGATGTTCAGAATTTGCTCTTTTTTTGGGCCTAAACTATGAAATAAATTTACTTTGTTAAAAGTTTATAGTTCAAATCTCACACGTGAGTTCATTAAATATATTTATTATTATTCTATGCCTAAATTTTATTAGCTCAAGAACATCTCTATAGGTGATGTGACATTAAAAAAAATTTTTAGAAGATTTTATTTATTTATTTATTTATTTTTAGGCAGAGGGGAAGGGAGGAGGAGAGGGAGACAAACATCAATATGTGGTTGCCTCTTATGCACCCTGCCACTGGGGACCTGTCCTTTAACCCAGGCATGTGCCCTGACTGGGAATCAAACCAGCAACCCTTTGGTTCACAGGCTGGTGCTCAATCCACTGAGCCACACCAGCCAGAGCTAAAAAAATTTTTACGTTATCACTTTCTTGATTTCCAAATTTTTATAGTGAGTAAGGGAGACAAAGAGGTTATGTTCAATTCTACCACTTAAAGGCAAGAAATTCGTTTTGTATTTTCATCCCAGCCTGGCTTTCATGCTTATTAATGAAACCATATTTTAATTATTTTTCTGCTCTTGGTAATTCCACTGGCTGCATGTTTTGTTATTATAAACAACACCGAGATTTGCATCTTCCACATAGCCAGAATTTCAGCTTACTTCCCTGAACTGCATTATTGGAAGTAGAAATTCAGGGTCAAGGTGGTTAGTTAATCCATTCTGACAAACTGCAGTCTATCCGGCATGTCCCATACACAGTCAAGAGTCTCAGGATTTTAACTAAGTTCATAGGCAAATGATATAAAAAAACTTAAATTTAAATATATACATCCTGGCTCATATTCAGACTAAAATGACTTAGGGAACCACAAAACACTCAGGATTTCTGCAGAACTGCTATCAGTCAAGGTCACAGAGAGGCTTTCCCTTTCTTTACAGCACAAAACAGGCAACGCAGCCAGCAAATTGCGGCCCTCCAGGCCTCTCCCAGAGGGGCACAGGCAAGGTGCTCCCCCCCCCCCCCCGACCAAAAGTATATTTACCTCCCACATCAGAGAATTGTCCCCATAGGTCTTGACTTCACTGGCGTTGACCACTTTACCCTGGAAGGGCCCAAACCTGACTCCTTTGGCGACGAGGCTACAGCAGAAGACACCAAAGTGGGGGACTTCACCGAACGGCACCTGTCTGAGGCAGAGACCTAGGGGAACCCGGAAAAGGGAAGCAGATGAGGAAATTGACTGTATTCACCTGGGGTAGGAAATCCAGGCAAGGAGCTCTCTGCCTACCTTCTGGTAGTTGAAGGGAGTCCTGGTCCAGAGTTCGCGGAAGACACTCAGGCCCTTGAAAAAGGCAGGGTTAAATTCTTATTTTTCATTAAAAGTATTAGGAAATCCTTTCGGGAGGCTCCACCCCCTGCAGCCCTCTCTATCCCCCCCTTCGCGACTCAGATCCACCCTGATGTGCCCCTTCCCACCCCTCACCCCATCGGACACCCAGCCACCCTAACCCGACCCGGCCCGGTCGAGCCGCCTTTACCGGAGCCGTCGGCGGGGACCACGAGGCCCGACGCTGCCAGGGGCAGGCGCGCCGGGTGCTCCGGGCTGGGGATGACCCCGTACAGAACCACGTGCAGGTCCTCCTGGGTGAAGTGGTACCGGGGAGCGGACTTCCTCTCCTGGTTCCGGCGTGGCGACTCAACCTCAGGCTCCTTGCTGGAGAAGTGAGGTGGCACCTGGGAGGTCCTCGGCCCCTCCGGTAACAGCGAAGCAGCCACAGGGGGCGGCGGCGGCGGCGGCGGCGGCATGAGAACCTCGGGTCCGTAACACTGGCCGCTGTCGCTTCGGCCGCCGATGTGGGCCAAGTCTTCACTGGGGGCCGCAGTGTAGTCGCGGCTGGGGTTCACGAAGTGTTGCAGCTCCTTGGGGAAGTGGGGAAACGGGTACCACGGCGGCAGCTTGCCCGGCCAGGGCAGGTCGTAGAGTGGCTCCCTCTGCAGGGCCAGGCCCGGGCTCAGCAGGGGAGGCGCGGTCCGGAAGGCCAAGGGGGCCATGGCCTGGGCGGCGGGCACCGCGGGCACCGGGAAAGGCTGGTAGTCGTCCTCCGCGGCGGTCGCGCTGCTCCCGTAGGGTGCATAGGGCGGGAAAGGCGTGTAGTAGGGGCCCAGGTGTTGGGGGCTGCTCTGGATCCTCTCGGGCGGATAGTACACCTTCTCCGGGGGTCCGGCCTCGCCTGGAGGCCGCAGAGCCATCCCGGGCCACGGCGCGCGGCGGGTCTGCGAAGAAGCAAGAGCAGCTCAGGACGCGCGCCTCCTGGGCCGGGCTCCTGCCTCCACACCTGAGCCAGCCCCGAGGGCAAAGGGAATAGGATACACGCCCAGTTTGATCCCGCAAGCTCGGCTTCACGAACAAAATAAAAAGAGCAAAAAACCTTAAAACCTTCCTCCCCATTCCCCCTGCAAAACGAAATTCTGCCGGGATCCCGCCCGACTCCAAGTTCCAGGTGAGGGCCGCCCTTGCCTTCCCTCTGCAAACACACCTTGACCAAGCGAGGTCGGGTTGCAACACCCACTCTCTCCTCCAGGCCCCCAATCCGGCTCCTGCAAAATCTGTTTTAAGAGCCCCCTCCCGCCCTCTTCTCGGCCCTACAAGGCTCTTCCCTCGGTCGGGGGAGCCGCCGGGCCGTCCCAAGCCCAAGGCTGGGCCGGGAGTCGAGAGCAAGACCGCCTGGGCTTGGGGGGCAGGCTGCAGCCCCACGCCCTCCCGAGTCCCGGCGGGAAAGGAAGGACCGAGGGTCCCGGGTCGCATCTCGGGAGCAGGAGACGCGCTCCCACAACAGGTCTCTGACCCCGCGGACCCAGGCAGGCGGGCTGCCCGGAGTCCAAAGCCAGCGCCGGGTTTCCCACCTGGATCGAGTCCCGCCACTTCCCAAGTCCCTCGGGTCACTCCAGTCAGCCCACCCGCGGGGCTGCCACTCGGGAGCAGGTGAGACCAGCCTCAGGACCGGTGGGAGGGCGAAGCCCCAGCCGCTCCCTCGCCGCCGCCTAAAAGGATGGCGTTTTAATGGACACAAGTTCAGCAAGGCTGGAGAATGGAGCGTCCTCAGGGCCGGCGCATCTTGAGGACAAGATCAATGAGCCCAGTAAGAAAACCAAGCAGGGTCGTGACTCAGAAATTAAAGAACACGGGGTCAGCGGGAGAGGTCAACCGCGACGAGGGCTTCTGCCCGGCTCCTCTGCGTCCCCCAGGGCGCCCCGCTCCCGGCCTCCCCTCACCCCGAGGACCCGCAACTCGGGGTTGAGCGGTCCTTAGTGAACGAGGGCCCAAGAGCGTAAAACGACCTCCCCGAACGAACTGCGACAGCGACTACTGCCGGTACTTCCCACCCGCCAGGTAGACGGCGGCCCCGGGCACCGGGGCGCCCCCGGCCCGGCACCCACCTTCCAAAGCGCCGCCACCGAGCGGGATCCTCCGGGACCTGCACGAGATCTGCACGGGACCGGCCGGCTGCGGGCCGAGCGGGTGGGCAGAGCCGGGGTTTAAGAGGGCGGCGGGCAGGCGGGGCCGCGAGACTTGGAGAGGACGAGGGTGGGGAAGGGATGCCGCCCATCCGAGTCCCGAGGCCGGTCTCGTCCCCGCCCACCGCAGCCATTGGCCGACGCTCGACTCGCCCCCTGCCCGCGGCGGGTCGCGCGCGGGACTCCTCGGGTCCCCGCGCCCTCACCGGGGCCGGCGGGGAGCTCCGGCCGCCCGCGGTCCGCCGCCGCGCGATCGCCGCCACGTGTGCGCCACGCGCGAGGGGTGGGGGCGCCGGGAGCCCGCGCCGGTGTTACCCTCGTGCCCGGACGAGCCTGCGCCCGCGCCCCGACTCCGGAGCCCAGCGCGCGGGGCCGGGACGCGTGCGGAGCTCGCGCCCCGCCTTTCGGCGTCGAGTTTCTGAGACCTGCGCCTGGCCTAGGGCCGCGGCGAATGCAAGGGCCCGGTGGACTTTCGTCCTTGTTACCTCGTGGGGAGCCCGGAGGCGTCCCTAACGCTCCCGAGGCTCCGGGGCTTTCACTTCTGACGCGGTCACTTTCAGGCCGAGGGGAGCGGCCCCGCGCGCCACGCCTGTCCCTTCCCCGCGGGGAAGGCACGCGACCAGGACGCGCCGGGCTCGGGAAAGCACAGTTCGGACCCTGCGCGGACGCTCGGAGGCCGCGTTCGTATTCATCCTCTAGGCCGGCCATTGGGAGGGAGGAAGGAGCGCGTGGGCCCGTTCGCATTCACATTCACTTTCTCATCGAAGCACCTCGGGTGGGAAACCGGTGAGATGCGGGCGACCCCGGCCAGCTCCCGCGCTGCCCGCCCGGGGTGTGGCCACCCGCCCAGCCCCCGCCGGGTCCTGACCCGGGGGAGGGAAAGGAGGACTCGTCGACGGCCCTCCGGCCGAGGGAGGCCACCGGAGGTCCCGCCGCTGCGGCCCCGGCGTCGAAAGCAGCTGCGGCGGCGCGGCGCGCCCTCCGCCGGGCCCGGACCCTGCGGCCTCGACCCGGACGCGGAGGCGCAGGCGGAGGAGGGAGGCGCGGGACCCCAATTCCCGCCGCCGCCGCCGCCCCCGCCGCCCCCGGGCCAGTCACCGCCCGGACGCCCGCGGTGGGCCCGCGCTGCCCGAGTCCCGGCTCGTGTCCGCGGTGCGGCGTCGGAGATAAGCGACGGGTCATTTTCTCTACGGGGTGGAATGACAGCCGCTTTCTGTCTCCGCGGTCGTGCACCTCGACCCCAGCTCTTCGTACCTGGCGGGTAGGTTGAAGTGAAGAGTCCTCGGGAAAACGGAGTCAGTTCTGCCGCCGTCTTCCTCCCGGAGCAGAGCCGCCCAGGGCTCCCCCCGCCCCCGTGTACCGGAGCTGCCGAACCCGGAGGCCTCGCGGGCCAGACTGATGCTGCGCCGACACTTGGGTGGTCCGTGGAGGTCAAGTGCTCCGATGGCGGGGGGTTTTTGTTTTTGTGTTTTGCCGTCACTCCAAGGTTGTAGCTTTAGTTTAGCAGAAGCAACAGGAATATTATTTCGGGTCTTGTTCAGCAAAGAACTCACAGTTTAATTTTTTTGTTGTTAAAAATTTTATTTATTTTTAGAGAGAGGGAAGGGAGGGAAAAAGAGAGAGAGAAACATCAATTTTGGGTTGCCTCTTGAGCGTCCCGGACTAGGGGCCTGGCCTGCAACCCAGGCGTGTGCCCTGACCGGGAATTGAAACTGTGACCCCTGGGGCTGCAGGCTGGCGCTCTGCCCACTGAGCCACAGTAGCCAAGGCCAGAGTTTAAAATATATTTTTTTAATTTAATTATAAACTTGCTTGTTTAAATAGTTTGGAGAAATAGACAAAGTAAAAATGGAAGTCCCTGCCCAGCGCTCATCCCTACTCTCCAGAGGCGACACTGATTAATAACTTGGTTTTCCCATCCCATTATATATATATATATATTTATATATAAACATATAAAAATCCCATTACATATATAAATATAAAATATATCCTATTTTATAAATATATAAATATTTATAAATATATCCCATTATATATATTAAATTGTTTATATTCTTAGAATTCTTTGACGAAATGGGATTATACTTTTATACAATTTTTCTCACTATCTCTTAGTTACCATTCCTGTCAGTCAGTACACTAAAATTAACATTATTTCTAATAATAGCTGCATGGTACAGAAATCCATCTTAAGGGTGTTCCCTAGGTTTTACAGCCTCCTCTTGGAAGGTATTTAGGTTGTTACCAGTTTTTAAACTCTTCAAGCAGCTTCTGGGAACATTATACCAGCTTCTGTTATATAGACTTATTTGCCCACTGTGCTTGTAGAATGAATAGCTAGGTGTGAGGCTGCTGGATCAACAGGTACATGTTGGTAAGTAGTTCACGCCATCCCGATGTACACCTTCCCCACCCAGGAGTGCAGATGCCCTGTTTCTCCATGTCCTCACCTAACACTGAAGAGTGTCCATCCTTTAAAGCTGCCTGTCTTTCACGCGAGAAGTGAGATCGTATTCTAATACGCCTTTCAGTCATTTACCCAACAGACTTCCTGAACACTTAGGTATTGATTGCTGGACAGCAAGCCAGATGCTGGGAATCCAACTGTGAACAAAGCAGCCGGGTCCAGCCCTGGGCCCCATAACGGTTTTATGAGGAAGATAAATATTTGTGGGAATACTTGATGAATGTGTGACTACAGGCTGTAGTGGGAACCGTGAGAGAGAAGAGGGCCATGTCCTGACCTAAGCCGGAAGGACAGCGAGGTTCTCTTGCCCTAGAGGATTTGAAAAGTGTATCTGAAATTAACTAGGTGATGGGGACAAGTGTCCCCGGTCCAGAGGCCCTGTGGTCCAGAGGGAGCTCGCCTGAGTCACAGTACAGAAGGGTGCCTGGTGTTGGGGGGAGAGAGATGGGGAGGCGGTAGAACTAGCAGAGACCGGGTCATGCAAGGGACAGCTGTGAAGATATAATTAAGCACCGACCGTTACATTTTCACAAGTCTTTCCTGAGGGAGTGCTAGGAAGTTTTTGATGGGAATAAGAAGCTACTGCAGCCACCCAGTACACTTCATTCCAAAATAATTTCAGCACTCCCTTCGTTAACTCGAGGTCAGTATTTGTTTATGGTTCTTTTTTTTTAAGGTAAAATTTATACACTAGGAAAATTCACACATCTAAATTGAACCATGAGTTTTGATGGTTGCATAAATCTGTGAGTCCACACTCCTCGTCAAAATAGAGAACTGACCGCCCCAGATAGCCTTCCACCCCCCTTCCCAGTGAATCTCCATATCCAGCTGCCTCAGAGACCATTGTTCTGCCTTTTCCTTCCTGCAGGTGAGTTTTGCCTATTCTGTAATGCCATGTGGGTGGAGCCATACAGAACACATTGTTCAGCGTACTGTCAGAGCCTTTGCTCTTCGACCATGAAAAACGTTGGCGCACCCTGAGAAAAGGCTAACAGCAAAGAGAACAATCCATATCCCACTGCAGGGGGGGATTATCTGAAGCCCAACTGGAAGGGTTCAATGGGCCTTGAGATTCCAGTCTGCCCATGCCCCTTCATACCTTTGGTTTTTCCAGGAGTATATCCGCGGCAGATGCGACATCCTCAACAACAGTGTCAGCATTGTTTACAACGGCAGCGTATCAGCGCATCTTGGCGATCACTGGTGGGTGGTCTCACCTGGGATCTCAGAAGCTCTGGTGCTTCCAAGAAGCTGTTCTAAG